AACATTTATGTTATGCTTTATTTAAAATAAACTCATTTCTTAGAACTTGGAAATTGTAGTATTAATATGGGTACTAATTTATTTTACTGAAGCTGAATCATTAATCTTAATATGTTATAGGTTATAAATATTAATTATTTTATTATGGAATCTACTATTAAGTATTTTGTGGCAGTGTAGCATCATATGCTATTGTATATACCTAGATGAAAATAGGAGAAAAGGCAAATTCCAGGAACTGTGAGTATTGACCTAGTGAACTGACCTGGTAGATCTCTAGGCATGAGACACATTCCCAGAGGTTAAAAATGGTGGAAGGTTTATTGTTTTAATATGATAGGTGCATTAAACAAAACCAACGTGACTTCACTTAAGGAAAAAGAGGAAATTTATTTTAGTCATGAAACCCAAAGACAAAAATGCAGTCATCTTATAGGAAGGAATTAGAAATAAGAAGGAAAACCATCAAGAACCAAGGGAATACTTTTGCCCTGTTTGTCTGTCTTATCTGTATTTTCTGTAAATCTACATGTATATTTCTTTCTTTGTAGACAGTCTTTCTAAACCTACCTCATTACAGTTGAATTTTATATATCTTTTTTATGGTTCAGCCCAATTCCAAATTCCCAGGACAGTATCTTCAGTTGACCAATTGTTGCTCAACTGCTTGGTTGTGCACCAACCAGATGGATTGGGAGAGTGGGATGGGGGAATCACGCAGGCCAACCCCTCTTGGCATTAGAGTAAAGGACATTCTAAACTGAGTCCTGTAAAATGAAGGCCAGGCAAGGTGAGAGTTAGTTAGAAAGGATGGAAAAGACTGTATAGATAAAAAAGTATCAAAGATGAAAGTCTGCAATAGCAATGTTCACAATAGCAAAGACTTGGAACCAACCTAAATGCCCATCAATTGTAGACTAAAGAAAATGTGGCACATATACACCGTGGAATTCTATACAGCCATAAAAAAGGATAAGTGCATGTCCTTTACAAGGACGTGGATGAAGCTGGAAACCATCATTCTGAGCAAACTAACACAAGAACAGAAAACCAAACACTGCATGTTCTTACTCATCAGTGGGTGTTGAACAATGAGAACACATGGACACAGGGATGGGAACATCACACACCGGGGACTGTCAGGGGTGGAGGTCTAGGGGAGGGATAGCACTAGGAGAAATACATAATGTAGATGACGGGGTGATGGATGCAGCAAACCACCATGGCACGTGTATACCTGTGTAACAAACATGTTCTGCACATGTACCCCAGACTTAAAGTACAATTTTTTTAGAAGTCTGCAATAGAAGCCCCAGTACCATAACATCTGGCATAGATTGTATCACTATCTTTACCCTTTATTCAACTCTTTTTTTCAAATTAATTTTCTTGTTGGAGCTATCTGTGATTTTTAACAGGAATTTATCTTGAAAATTGTACTCATATTATGGATGTAACCTAACTCTCATTAATATAATGATGGAATGTTATTCCAGAAGCTTAACATAATATTGACATTCATTTACCATCGAAGAAGTGAAGATCATATGTTATTTTTACTTCTACTCTTTATTTACAAACTTTAATTTTAGAAAAGCATTGCTTCTAAAGTCACCCAGAAAGAAACAAAGGTGATATGAGAACTTAAGTAACTTTTAGTAAAAGACAAAATTAGCTCTTCCTCTCCTAATACAATTCTCTGGACTGAGTAAAAAGAAATATCTTTGTGCTAGCACTGTGATAGGAGGGGATGGTTTATGTAGAGAGCAATATGCTAAAAGTCAGGGGAAAATGTTCAGAGGTAAGGACATCATATTTGTTCATTCACTTTTTCCTCCTTAATCATACCTTATTTACTGCTGTGCCATGAATTTGAGTATGATGAGTATATAAAATCTTGGGAATATATTTGAGTGTATGTAAAATCTTGGGGAAAGTAGGTTAGGCAACATCAACAACAAAGGTAGTAAAATAGTTATTGTAGTGGAAGTAGAAACAGCAGGCAGCATTTATTGAATTCTTATTATATGCCGGTACTGCCCTAAACACTATGTTAGTTCATTTATTCCTAACTATGTGGTAGATACTATTATTATCTTCATTTTCAGATGATTTAACTGAGGCCCATGGAGCTGTATGGAAATTTAGTGATAACTAGAAGGTGATGAAAGCAGTTTGAAGTGAAGTGTATAATTATTGAAAGTAAACAGCCCCTCCTTGATTTACACTACATAATTTGCTTTCTTATTTTCATTTTAAAATAAGGGATAATTTTCATTTTATGAAACTTATCCTTTTTAGTGTCCAGTTCTATGAGTTTTGACAAATGTATACAACTATGTAATCACTACAGTCAAGACATAGAACAGTTCCATCAGGCAATAAAATCACTCCACCCATAATCAACCTGTCTCCATCTCCCAGGCCCCGGCAACCACTGTTCTGTTCTCTGTTTCTGTTGTTTTGTCTATTCCAGGGTCATATAAATGGAATCATAGAATATACAGCCTTTGAGTCTGGCTTCTTTCACTGAGTATAATTCATTGGAGATTTGTCTATGTTATGGTTTCTCCGGTGTTCTTATTGGGTAGTATTTTTTGGTGTGGATAGTTAATTTTGTTGAAGTGCATTTGGGTTTTTCTGGTTTTTGACAATTATGAAGAAAGCTACTATAAACAATCTCACACAGGTTTTTGTGTGAATATAAATTTTAGTTGCATTTAGCTGATACTAAGTAATAGGATTACTGTGTTGTATGGTACGTGTAAGCTGAACTTTATAAGAAAATCTGTCAAACGATTTCCCAAAGTGGCTTTATTATTTTACATTCTGACCACCAGGTGATCTCCATCCATACCATAACTTAGTATATATGTGTGTGTGTATGCTTGTAAATATGTGTGCATATATGTATGTATAGATATATACTTTAAATTTTTAGCCATTCTAAAAGAAGTGTGGTGGCATTTGTGTGTGTGTGTGTGTGTGTGTGTGTGTGTGTGTGTGTGCGCGCGCGTGTGTGTGTGTATGGGTGTGGTTGTGTGTGGTTTTTGTTTGTTTGTTTGTTTTAGGTTTTTTTGAGATGAAATTTCACTCTGTCACCCAGGCTGGAGTGCAGTGGCACGATCTCAGCTCACTGCAGCCTCTGCCTCCCGGGTTCAAGTGATTCTCCTGCCTCAGCCTCCTGAGTATCTGGGATTACAAGTACACACCACCAGGCCCAGCTAATTTTTTATATTTTTAGTAGAGATCAGGTTTTGCCATGTTGGCCAAGCTGGTCTCAGGTGATCCACCGGCCTCGGCCTCCCAACGTGCTGGGATTACAGGTGTGAGCCACCGTACCTGACCTAACTGTGGTTTTAATTTGCATTTTTGTAACAACTAATGACATTGAGCATCTTTTTTTGTGCTTATTTGCCATTTGGTGTAGTATCTGTTCAAATGTTTTATAAGTTTATTCTGTATTCTGGATACGGGTGTTATCAGATATGATTTGCAGATATTTTCTCCCAGTCTGGGGCTGTCTTTTAATCTCCTAAGGGTGTCTCTTGAGGATCAGAGTTTTCTTTTTTTTTTTTTTTTTTTTTTTTTTGTTGGGGTTTTTTTTTTTTTT